ATCTAGGCCAGTGGGCCCCTCCAGTGCTTTGGAACCTCACCACTGAACAAGTGCAAAAACCAGAAAAACTAGTAAACCACTTGAACAAGATGTGCTGTAGTCCTGGTTATACCAGAGAGGGACAAATGGCGGCAACGTGCTGGGGCTTGGCCTATGCCTACAGAGCCCTGCTTAACATTATCCAGCACCTTCAAAGGGAAAACAGCTTTCCAGGAGCCTTCTGGATTGCATACAGCTCACTGTGATACTTTTCCAGCAGATATCAGGGTGGATGATACCCCCCAGCAAGACAAGAGCCTATAAATGTGATGTGTTTTGTAGCTGGAGTAAGAAGGCTTCATCAAGAATTTTCCCTTGATCGGGTGGCCTGTAGTAGACGCCAACCTCAAAGTTCCCTTTGTTGGCTCCATCTCTAACTCTTACCCATAAGCTTTCGATCTGCTTGTGACTATTCTTCAGAGGCAGCTATTCACTCTCTATCCATTTCTTGATGTAGGGGGCAACACCTCCACTTCTCTTCCTCACCCATCCCTACAGAACAGTCTGTAGCCGTCAATAGCCACACTCCAGTCACGGGACTCATCTCGCCAAGTTTAAGTAAGTAGGTCATAGCTTTCCATCAGCATCATTAGTTGAGCAACCAACTCCTCCTGTTTGTTGCTCATGCTGCACATGTTGGTGTAAAGGCACTTCAGACAGGCTGCCAGCTGACTCACCTTCTTAGAGGAACACTTCTTAATTCCTTTGAGGTGTTTCACTGATGTTTTTCCCTGTTGGCTCCTATTATTTCAGGAGGCCCTGGCTCATCTCCATAAGACTTCAAGCATGCTCCAGCGTAGTCAGTACATCTCAGAGCAACAGGCTAAGGGACCTCATTAGCACCCTATCCCTCTAACCCTGGTGTGTTATGCCAAAGCTTGTCAAGAGCTAATTTAAAGGTCTGACAAGGAGCCCCACTAGCTCATGAGCAAAGACCATCTTGCCCTTTGAGAAAGGTGAATTTGATCTGATGCCAGTAAGCCTGGTGCCATCTAGGCCATCCCATTATTGAAAAACCCAAAAGTGCAGTGGTGACACCAGCCACAGAGCCGTGGCTGGGGTTATTAACATGTATTAACAGACTGTGTCCATCTGTTTCTTTCAATGTCACTGCCTGCAACTGGAAGGGTAGAATTAAAAATAACCTACGCTCCAGATTCCCTTACCAAACATCCCAAAGCCCTCTTTTGACCACTTTGGACTATGCATTGTAGTTTCATCACCACCCTTGAGCAGTAATGGATAATAGTCTGAGGGTCACACCTGCTTAGGAAGTTCCCTAGTGATGTCCTTAACCTGGGCCCCAGGGAAGCGGCAGACATTCCTAAAAGGGGGTTCTCTCTGGTATATTGGACCCTTGGTCCCTGCAGAAGGGAGTCCCCTACAACTACAACCCATCTTTTCTTCCTCGTGCGGGTGGTCATGACACAGTGGATAGGCCTTTCTGATCTCTCCAAGGCTTCAGGCTTCCTAGTATAAGAAATCAGAACTAAAGGAAATCTCAGCAGCTGTGAAATCATAGAATCATTGAATGATTAGTGTTGGAAAGGACCTCAATTTCATCTAATTCCAACCTCCAAATGGCCATTGAAGTAGGATAGTTATCATAAAAAACTCCTTTAATTGTGGCATATCATACTACAGAACACATCCTGAGATCAGTTCAAACACTATCCCTCAGACACATGGTGACTTACTAGGGCTAATCTGTTTAATAAGGGAATGCAAAGAGAAAATATGATTTGCCACTTGAAGAGTGGGCCAGACTCCAGGTTTCCATCAGAAAGGACACATGTCAACCCTTTTGATAGAAATCAGTCGACGAGACTGTATAGGTGCAAAAGGCAAGGACTGCCTCTGATTAGGTTACAACCTAGAGAATGGTAGACCCAGAGTCAAAAGTCTCTGTGTAGTCTTAAAGATGCCAACCATCCTTAAAAGGAGGAGCACCCTGGCAGGATAAACCTAAATGCAGCGAATATTCACACATGGATCTATGCCTGTTTCTGCATGAAACCCCATCACCATTTGGACTGGGGAACCCAAAGGCTGCAGTTTCTTATTCAGCTGCTTCATTCGTGGTTGAGCAGATAGCCACTGATACCAGTGGGAGCATGCCTGACTAAATCAGTGTGAAGATTAGGAACTAAGTTCTGAAACAGCAGTCAGATTTTTCCTACTTAGCATCATACCTCTTCTTACATTCTAGTCACTCTGCCTTTTTTAAGCAATTCAGTGAAAAAAAAAAATAGCTTCCTTTGCACTTGCTGCATTGTTTCCCTTCCCTCCCCCTCTCAAATCAAATTTAGAAAAATAGGTAAATAAGCTGTGTAACTGCCTCTTGCCTCACCATTTCAGCTTGATGCCCTTCACAACAATCTCAGCTGACAGGTTCAGTGCTGAGCTGTATCAAGTGCTTCCTGCCAACGTGGGTGGTCTGAGTCACTCCACAGTGAATCTGACAGCTGAGTGCAGTGATATGGACCCCAGGCAACAAGCGGGCTGGGGAGGTGCGGCTTGGGTTTCATTTGCTGCACATTTGTCTTTTATCCCACGGGTAGGGCACAGCTCGCTGTGGCACACTACAAGGCTCAGTGATCTGGTCTCTTCACTTGAGAAGCTAATTCTCTGGTTGTAAACAAATGTTTAGATTAGTAATTCATCCATTCGTTTGCAGGGCGTCTATCTCATTATCCGTGAATGACTACAGATTGAGGCAGTCGACACTGTTTATGATCCAGGCACAAGGGACTAATCTAAAATACAGGCTTAGTGTCCAGTGATTTATAACATCCGTAGCTTAGACCCTGATACTACACGTCATTCCAACAATACAAGCCTTTGCATCCAAGTGGTGTCCTTATCGATGAATCAAGGGTAATCTCCAACACAGATCTCAAATCAGGGTGGGAGCATCATCTCAGATGCAACAGGAATTTCCTCCCACACCTGAACACTTTAATTAGGTTCAACTACAATTAGAAAAAAAGTACCAGCATGTAATATTTGGAAGGTGGAATATTTTAGTTCATAACACACTCAAGGCTCCCTCATGCTTCTGTATCAGTCAGCCACACCTCTGTTATCACAGAGCATACTGAGCAGTCTCTGGCCTGTTATATACTGGGAAGAAGTCTGATTCTTCCTTAACCTACCAGTGGCTTTCGCTGTAATTAGCCATTCATGCTGCAACTGATCATGTGCTCTAGTTCCCAGAATTAATAAGATCAACTACCACAGATGTGCAAGGTCAAGAAATTAAATATTTATAAATGGTTGTATTTATTCTGTTTGTTTATTAGCAATAACTAAAGGTCCTTGTCCTTAGAGAGAACTAGCTAACCAGGAAATTTTGGATGTTGAAGTGCAGACATTTTTGAGTTATGCCTGAGCATAAAAACATATCAAAATATTTACAAGGGGAAATATCTATAATTTTTTATCATTGTTTAACTCAAAAATTGCAAAAAATCTTGCTTAAAGTTTCCAGGAGGAAAAATAATTTCAGGCTGAAGTAATGTGTGGAAAAAAATCAAATCTAAAGGAGAATTTTCCAACAAAGTATCATCATGTGCAGAAGGGAATAGAGTAGTAGAGGCTGCAACACATAGCCAGATCCTAAGGTGAGTTAAAACAGTTGAGAGGGAAATGACTGGCGTCCTGTTGGATAGCATGTTGAATATGAACGAGCAGTATGCCATAGCTACAAAGCCCAGTGGCCTTCTGGGGTGCATTAGGAAGAACACTGACAGCAGGCCAAAAGAGGGAATCCTTCCTCTCTACTCAGCACTACTGTGACCACACCTGGAGTGCTTTTTCCAGTTCTGTGCTCCCCAGTAAAAGAAAGACATGGACATATTGCAGTGCATCTAGTGAGGAGCCACTAAGAAGACTGAGGGATTGGAGGACCTGATGTACAAGGAGAAACTGAGAAAGTTGGGATTGTTCTACTACAAGAAGAGGAGGCTCAGAGGGATTGTACCAATCTAGGGTGGATTAAAGAAGACAGAATTAGACTCTTCTCAAGGCTGTCTATTGAAAGGACAAGAGGCAAAGGGCACAAATTGAAATATAGGAAATGCAATTTAATGTAAGAAAAATTTTTTACTGTAAGCGTGAACAAATACTAGAGCAGGTTGCACAGGATGCTTGTAGAGTCTCCATCCCTGGAAATATTTAAAACTCAACTGGACAAGTCCCTAAGCAACCTGCTCTGACTGAACCTGCTTTGAGCAAGAGGTTTTGGACTAGATGATCTCCAAACATCCCTTCCAACCTTAGCTATCCTGTGCTTCTGTGGCTGAATGGTTCCTATGCACTTTTCTCAGCTGGGAACACTGAACTCTCACAGTATAAGTATTAAACAGATACCAGGACTCATCATTGCTGTTATGCTGGTGATGTGGTAGTCTCACAGCCCTGCTACCTTGCATATAATTTCTGCAAACTAAACTGTTTTGTTATTTCTCCCCCTTTATCATGCCAATTTATGATACGCAATCGTATAAAATACGGTGATTGGTCATGTAAAGATATGGCTATCGCAGAAAGGGAAAGGGAATTTGGAAAACTTACTCATTTCCATGTATTCTGGAGTCAGCCCAGTGAAAGGTTCCAAAGTGTAGTCGAGATCCCATTGCTGAGGGTCCTTTGACCGGTTGGTGTCCATTTCCTTTGGCTCGGTTCTTTCATCCTTCAGCTTCCTGAAGAGCTTCTTTAGCTTCCTGACAAACAAAAGTTTAGATTGAATCAAGTCCTTTTATTTTTTAACCCTACAAGATTTGGCCCAAGTCTTTGCACAGCAACACAAAATATGTATCATGTTACTTTGGTATCCCATAGGCTTAGTCTACACCATCCTCTAAAGCTCTGATGTTGCTAATTGCCAGGCGACAGGCTGCTGGAGTTAGGAGTTCCTATGTTCCTGTGTCAAGAGGAAAGTTACAACAGCATAATGGTGTTGAACCCAGTACTTTTTAATAACTGTTTCTCTCTAGATACGTATTGAATGGACATCTTCCTGAAGCTCAAGCACCTTGGGCCTAAATATTGGTAATAAGTAATACACTCAAAACCAACACACTGAGCACTTCTGCCTTAAGAAAGAAAGGAAGAAACAAACAATATACCAGAAGATAATGTGATATTTTCATAACATATCTAGCACAAGCAAATTTTTCTCTCACCACGAAGCTTGGGAACTTCCAATATAGTATACTTTTAAGGACAAAATGACCAGACATTTTGCCAAAGGGGGTGCAGGAATGTACTCATTCCTAACCCTGGCAGACTTATGAATATTTTAAGCATGAAACCTGCGTGTTGTTCAAAGCAAAAAGATATAAACATCTCTGCTAGTAAATCTGCAGCACCAAAAAAAGAAGTGCCTTCAAGATACGATAGGTCTAAAGCCTCTTAGGGCTCCAAAAAAGCATATTATTGACTTAAAGCCAGCCCTGTGACCACCAGAAAACACCTGCAGCTCTTCAATCCCAGTGCTCTCCTGTCACAAGCACATATACCTGAGTTTATCTAAATAGATAAAAAAAAAATGCTGCTTGTGGAAATTTAAAGGGGAAGTACTCTCCAATTAAAATGATGTTACAGCTAATAAAGACAATAAAATATGTACCAATGAAATGTTAAGTATAAGCAATGTCTAATTTTACTAAAGGCCTTTCATCCCGGAGAAATGCAATCTCCTTGCTTCTACATAAAGTGCAAACAGAGTTTAAAGTAACACAAAGAATCGGATTCACAAGAGAGTTTCAGCAAGGTCAGCAGAATTTGGTCTCAGAGAGGTGTACCATTCCTGTCAGTACAAACAGAAACCCTACCTTAGTCACTTTGGATTCAGTAACAAATTTGTGCTAGAAAAGTGTCACTTGGGATATGTGCAGTAACAACCTCTACAATACTCCATAATGCAACCCTCACCAGAACTCACTGGGGAAGAAGTGGGATTCACTGGAAACCACTGGAAACTACACAATTCTGTAACTCCTAACATAAAACCTGAAACATTTGTTGAATGCTTATGTGAAAATTTTGTATTTCTGAATTATTTTTCCTGAGAGCTTACGGATTGTATACAAGGCAAATCATGCACATCTATATATACCCTGAAAAATGTACTTCACCGTGAGGTAGATGCTTTACTTGCACAACCATATAATCTTTCTTCAGAGATTTCTCATAAGAGTTTTAGAGGTTCTGAATTTTCCTTCAGACATGTCCCAGTGTGTATAAAGGTGGAACACTGAGCTACCAGAAAACCAAGCCTCACTGTATTGTGAGACTTGGAAACCCCTGACTATCTTGCAAACCCAACTCTGCTGGTGAGTTTTCACTGCCTCTGAAGCAGAAAAGCAAAACCATTTAAGTAAATACAGATCAGTTATGTCTCTCACCTCCTTTATATCAGAAAAGGCTGTATCAGAGTTTCTTATTTTGACCACATTTTACAATAACATAGTTCATTTTGGCCAGACTATAAATTACTCACATGGGTGAGCAATTATTTGTGCAAGTATTCCTTTGGATCTCAGCATGAATAGTAGTATCAACCACTGTCCCACTGAAATGGGGATAGATATTTCACAACCCTGACAAATACCTGCGTTTCTTAAGTAGTAAATTCCTAGAGTAGAATGAATCTATCTCTAAAAGAAAAGTTTTCCCAGTGCCCTCCCAGAAATGACATTTTAAATGCATATGCATCAATATCTTCATGCTATTTTACACATTAAAAAATTCCCATGGAAAAAAATGTAATAGATTGAGATATTTCTTCAAAATCAAGGAAGTAAAATACAGTGAAATAGTATAAAACATCAATATTTATACTTACTGCATGTCTTCCTTTTGCAGATTAAATTTACCTTTCACAAATATGCATGACATTATTTTATAGTTCCTCACATATGTGCCATATGAGTGAAAATCCAGACTAATCCCAGCAATGTTTTGCCAACAGTGTAAGCAGGGCTCTCCCACAAACATTTCCCCCACAGCTTGTGATAAATCCTTTGAACTGGAGGTGTGTGGCCTAGAGACAGGATTGTGTGGGGTAGTGGTTTTCATTTGTACTTCCAGCTAAGCAGAACCACTTTCTCAGATCCTAACTTAAGTAGCAGGGCAAGGCTAGCTGGCAAACACAGTAAAGCCTTTTCTGGGTAGGTTTATTGCTTTGTTCCCGAATATACACTGAGCCACACAGGAACACTGTGTCACCACATAGCACAAGGCCCTGTTGCAGCCTGGAAATGAACACAGTGGCTGCAGAAATTCTACACTGACCAGTGTTTACCAATTCAATTTCGTCACTTGTATGGAGGAAATGGGGATTGGCACTCTTAAAACAGACCTAGATTGCATCAGGTCCTGACAGTGCCAGGATCAAAAACCTGCAAGAATCAAGAGGTAACTGCAGCTTTTGCGACAAGTGCAGCTAAAGCATATATCTGAAAGTAATATTCTCAGTGCTTTGGCAATAGCCGGGTACAATGGGGCTAACCAAATACTTTCAGCACCCAGAACATTCAGTTTACACAGTTTTAATAACAGGGCAGGGAGTTTTAAAATACTTCACAAGAAAGAATTAGACAGATCCTTACAAAGTCATTTACCGCTGACATCATTCAAACTCAGCCATTTCAAGACAGTAAAATTCCCCTCCCCCCTTCCCACTTTTATGATAATCAAGAGAACTTGTCAGTGACAGAGGTGATATAGTATTCAGAGGGTAGGAGACTGGGGGCAGGATTTAAAACAACCAAAGAATTCCCAGTATGCTCTTCCAGCATTTCCCAATTAATTTCCTAATGTGAGGGACTCTCAGAGGACAATGAACTATAAGTTAAAGACAGTGCTGTTTCTGATTTCTGTTCCAGCTATGTGCTATAAATGTCACTCGCTTTTCCATGGCCAGATGGGATTGAGGTGCATCTTGCTGTCACTGTGCAGCAGCTGAGATAAAGTTTGGGTGTGTTTAGATGTGAAATCTACACATGTGTGATCTAATCCTCTGGTTAGAGCACCATGGAGTCAAGTTACGGAGTTTAATGCATACACTTAACTCCCCTGAGAACCCAGTAACTAAAACACTAGTTGTTTTTCATGTTTATTTAGGAATTCACTAAATCCAGGGTTCTGTAATAATTTTTAATTTCTCATCTGCCTATCTGTAAGTCAGGCATCAGGAGTGGCACCTTTAACTATTTTGAGTTAAGCTTTGAGCAGTGTTCTTATTTTTATATTTATGTCATTTTTTTTAAGGATCAACTAGCTGAAAGCAAGCCAAATGATTTCTTTCAAATATTCCACCAAAAAAAACCAACTACCTGTGTGTCATATCCAAGCATGTGAAGTTTGAGACCAAGCAGAAATGTGTCAGAAAGTTAAAGGAAGAGAAAACAGGGATTTGCAGTGTTATTCTCCAGCTATACAGCAGTAGGGCAATGAAAATGAGTTTTGCAGAACTTTATAGCTGCACATATGATTGTGTTATTAAAACTAAGTAAGCTTTTTAAATGCACTTGTGTGAAACCTGTTTTTTAATTCCTCAGATCAACATTTTTAAACAAAGTTGACAGACAATAATAATCAAGAGCTATTTTAGCTTCCGCTTTCTGCATGCCAGGCAGCCCCATCGGTGAGAAAGAGGTAGGATTGCTCATTCAGGGTGAGTCTCCAAGAAGCTTTGTACTGAAGAAGCACATGCAGCAAGGTTTCATGACCTCACAAGTAGTGTATGAATCTGGACAGAGAATACTATAGATTAGCCATTATTTCTGATTGTTTTGTCAGCCAATATTAAAAAGCAACATACATTCTTAAGGAGACTGAACAGCATGGAAAAGAAGGAATGTAGGATCAGGGAGAAAGAAAATGAACAGGTTTTTGTCAGAAGGCTATGCCTAGAGCAGTTAAAAATGACTCTGCAGTTTCTCTCAAGGGATTGGCACCAAATTGTTGTGTTAAATAGGAGGTGGTTTAATTATGCTGTTCATAATTCCTAATATAACTAATAAGCATGGTATTATGCAAAGTAACCAGCTTCTGAAGAGAGCATAAAATTGCTACAGGAAAATGCCCAGCCCCTGAAGAATCCGTGAGGTTTTGATAAAAAAGATGAGGAAAAGAAGCACATGGTGCACTTGCACAAGCCTCCTTTAAAAAAAAAAATAAATCAGAGAGATGACTGAACAGTTGCTCTGTCTATACAGTAAAAAGAAGTACCAGGATTTGGGGTATCTAGGGGAAGACATGATGATGACCTGAGAAAAATGAGAAATTTGTTCAGTGAGACAGAGTAGAAAGTATAGAGGTTGGAGAGGAAGGGCAGCTGGGGGCAGGCTGAAATAAGACAGAGGCACAAGTCTGTGGGTCTCCAGTGGCTATGCAGTCCTCACGGTGCATCTCCACCCCAGCCTGCCAGAAAGATTGGAACTGAGGATCAGTCCACCAGTTTCTCAAAACTCTCAGTCACCAAATGCTCTTGGGTACTGCAAGGCAGATCACCTGTGACAGTCAACAAGGTCTGGATTTGAAGTACTGCAATGCAACACTTGCTAGAAAGAGATGCAAATAAACTATATGAAAAGACAGAAAACCCCTAAAATCCAGCTGCTGGGGATGAATGATTTATATCAAGTGGGTTTTAAGGCTGTCCTTCCTGTTGGCATTTTTGCCTTTGTAGCATGATAGAAAAGGGTAAAGGGAGAAAACTAGACTGAAAAGACTGAGTAGCTGGACACTTGTATCTAGAGAAAAGGAAGTGAATTGGCTCAGACTCTTGTGCTCTTGAGTATAATTTTGTTTGATGTGAATGGCATACTGAAGGTCCAGGCTTTTCTTCCCTCATATTCCTGCAGTTTGTTCGCACAGGGAGAGACCTCATATTCACACACAGGCAGTACAAAAAGGATTCAGGAGGAGAATGAAGGGACTTTAATATCTCATTTGGTTCCACAGCACATTCAGACCTCCTGGCTTCTATGGAAGTTTAAGTTGTGTTTGGGATTTTCAGTTTCTCTAACAGAAGAAAACAATGACCAAAAAACAGGAAAGAAAAGAAAAAACAAAATCAACAAACTCTGAAACCCCCCAACCCCATTAAATAACAGCAATATATTAAAAGTGAAAAGCGACACAGGGGATAGTAGCTATGAAAGGGTGTCTTTAAACTGATTTTTATTAACTCTTGGCATTCTTGTCCAGCATAGTCAAATGCATTTTAAACTAAGTGATGCTGAATAAAAAGGCCAAATTCATGGCTCCACAGAAGTCAAAGGGAGTTTTGCCATTAACTTCTATAGGGCCAGGATTTCACCCTAAAGGGTTTAGCACCAAGGTCAAAGACAGAGAGTAATAAAATAACCATATGGATTTTTTTCAATAAGTTCAGAGAAACAGAACTGAAAAAAAGGTTAAGGCTCTCAAGCCCTGCAGCCTTTTAGGATCAGTTCCTGTGGCAACAGTAAGAGAATTATGGTATGTGACACATCTGAGTGAACTGTGGCATATTTACATCTGTTAAACTTATGAATTCCAGCCCCACAAAGCACACATTTCAATTCAAGAAGGCTTAGTTTTCCATAATTCAACTGGTGTTGCATTTACCTAGCTGTTTTCATATTCCTGGGTGCAGAAATTTAAAAAGAAGTCACAGAAAGGTTTAGAAGACCAGCAAATTACATCTGTCATAGCTGTGCAGCAGTTTCTCCAGAAACGTTGAAGGAAAGCACAAAGCAAATAACATGTGTCCCCATGATGCCAAACAATGCAGGGCTGCCCTCTGAAGTTTAACTCTCCAATTCCTCGGCTAGCATTGACTGTGAATAATCCAGAATGAAGACACTGAATTATGGTTCCCAATTGCTGCAACAACAGTGTGCTACAGACATAATGGATGACTGCTGCTTATAAATTCAGTCTCCCATCTACTTAGTAGTATGTTTTT